ACAAAGAATAAATGCTTTTGTTTTCATTTGGCATGAAATTATGCTTCAGCAAATGCAGCCCTTGTGCAGCAATTATAAATTAATTCCAGTCAGAAGCAATATTCTGTTCTCATGTTGGCAGCAACCTTGAATTTTAATTTTTTTTTACTGCTCCCCTCCCCCCTTCTCTTCTAAAGGCATTTGACTTACTTTTCCTTATACTGAAGTGTGGTTTGACTAAAGTTGCTCACCCGGTGTTATGCCTCCTGTGGCCATTACTGATGTTTGAGTCATCAAAGTGAGTGTTGGCCAACTATTCAACTGAGGGCAGGTTATTCAACTCGGGGCAAGCTATTGAACTAAGGGGAATTGCAGCCAGCCACAATCCTTAGCAGGCTGAACAGGTCAAATGGCCTACTTCTTTCCTATGTTCCTTACACGACATCCATAGACACGGTTATTCTAGCAGAGATGTCTATGGGAGTTTAAAGTCCTGACATAAGATTTTAACCTACAACCTTCTGACTCAGAGTTGAGGTTGCTAGTGAGATCTATTTGCTAATTTAGCACACTATTTGGACCTCCAGCCTTCTTACCTGTATGCTCCAGTGTTCCGCAGTGATAAAATATTAATATTTAATTTTCTTATTGCAAATTAAGGGTATACACAACAAGGGCAAAGCAATGAATTCAAGTACAGTTAATTCAGTTTAGGGAGAGTATCTGCACATCCGTATTTTTAAAAATCTTATTTTCATTGAATTACTTCTATTAAGAAATACTGTATGATCCAAGTACATCTGATTAGCACACGCTGTATGGGGTAAGTATGCAGGAATAATCTGTATAAACTGTACAAGCTCAGTGTTATTCAATGAAAGTGCAAAAAATATATAGATTAGTCTTTATATGGGAATGTATTAAATAAATGATCAGTCTAAGACTGACTTAGAGAGCCATGAAACTCCTTGTTTAATTTTAGGATACAATCACTAGTTTGTATGGAATAGATAATAGATCATAAAGCAATTTAAATCTTTTAAGTAGAAACAAGGACATTTGCAGCACAGAAAAGAGCCATTTTAAACTGAGTTACAACAATGTTTGGAATTCGATCAGTTTTGAAATAGTGGAATCTCTGCTGATTTTTGAGTATTGGGAGTACAGCTGTCATATAACACCATTTAAAACTACCTCTAACAAAAAGAATTTTTGATGAATATCCCAAAATGAATAAAATATTCCCTTTTTTTATAGCGCTTTTCAAGTCAGAGGGTCATATCAAAGCACTTCAAGGTTATAATAATAATAATAATCCTTGCATTTGATATAGCGCTTTTCACGTCGGGAGGATGTCCCAAAGCGCTTCACAGAACACACTGTAAAGTGAATTGACTGTACATTTGTGGGCGAACGCTGCAGCCAATTGCGCACAGCAATGTCCCACGAACGGTCGTAGATTGAAAATGACCAATTTATTATTGTTTTCGGTTTTGGAGGGATTATTATTAGGCGTGTGGAGTAAGGAAACTTGCCCAAGGTTTCGCCCTCTGCCTGGAATTGAACTCAGGTCTCTCACTTGCAAAGCGAGTGCTCTAACCACTGAGCTACAGGACTCCACTACATCGAGGCTCGACCATGCAAACTCACTGCTTGTGACCCTCCCCAACACCTTCCTCCACAGGCTGCAGATCATCCAGAGCTCTGCAGCCCGTGTCCTCTCCCGCACTAGGCTCCATGACCCTATCACCCTCATCCTTGCCCAACTCCACTGGTTTCCCATCACACAGAGGATACAGTTCAAGATCCTAGTCCTCAACTTCAAAGCCCTCCACAATCTTGCTCCCCCCACTTCTCTGATCTCCTAACCCCCTATCACCCTGTTCGCTCCCTCTGCTCAGCGGGCTCCGGCCTGCTTCACATCCCCCGCCTTGCTCGCCCCACTATCGGCGGCAGGCCTTCCGCCACTCTGCACCCACCCTCTGGAACTCCATCCCGCAGTCCCTCCATCTCATCCCCTCCCTCGCCACATTCAAGACCCTCCTCTTCGACCGTGCTTTCGATCTCCCTGCTTCCCCCCTGCCCTCCACCCTTCCCCACCCCGACCCTCATCTCGGGTCCGTAACTCTTGTCTGTCCAACGCCTTGGGACGTCCTCCTGACGTTAAAGGTGCTATACAAATGTAATTTTGTTGTTGTTCTAGTGCCATGGGATCTTTAATGCCTTGTCCATCTGAACAGGCACATAACCTTGCTTTAACATGTCATCTGAAGGATGACATCCTCAACAATGCTGAAAACTTCCAGTGCTGCCCTGGAGTGTCAATATTAGTTCAAAGTCCCAACATGGGGTTTGACCCCACAACCTTCTGACTCAGGGCTACAGTGGTACCAACTGAGCCAGGCTATTACACAAATTTACATTTTGATAGCACATTATCGTATTGACACTTTCACAAATAATTACTGACTATTTGTAGGCAGAGATGTCAACCATTTTGCATATACGCAAATACTATATACTAAGGTCCCAGAAACACCATGAGGTGAATGATGAACTGAAGGATTTTTGGTTAGGACACCAGAAAAATTTCTTTCTAATATTGTCATGGAATCTTTAATATCTACCTAAATCTACTGGCAGATGGGAACAATGTTTAAAGTTTAATCCAAAATATGTCTTGTCAAACTGGTGGGTGGGGGCCGGGCGGGGGGGAGAGAAAGAGGAGAGATAACTTAGTATATGAATTATAGTAATTCTGCAAATTAAGTTGGGTAGTAGACAACAAAGAGGAAATATTGGGACATTCCCAAAAGCGATGTGTAAATATTATAATGATTATGAGCATACTTTAAACAATATCCACTAGGGATTACAACCATTAGGCCAAGCTATAATTCAGTGCAATAAAAGTGCTGAAAATTGGATTGAATCCACTGTAAATGGACAGGCAATTGTAGAAATTACCAATCAGTTTCTTATCTCCCCCAAAGGAAGAAGCAGTTGATACCCAATTAAAAAGGTTTCCATTTCACCTATAAACTATGCAAGATATCTACTTCAGCTTTCAGATCTATTTTGGCTAAATTGTTTAAAAGGAAGTTATAACTTATGAATTAAACAATCCCATTATGTTGGGATATATTAACTTTGCAAATGCCCATATTCATTCATAATGTTTATTCCCCCATCTTAATTGTTCAAATTCTAAACTTCATAAAAATAAATTAGACTTTGTTTCTTATTTACCTCTTAAAAATTATATTGTTGTTGTGAATTACTTTGTATGTTGGGTGTCCTCCCGACATGAAAGGCGCTCTATAAATGTAATTTTGTTGTTGTTTTTGGCTTCACATTCACCTTTTGTTGGTAGATTTGGTGTGATTCTTATCAGTGCACAGCCAGGAACTTCCAGTGAAATAGAAACAAGCAAGAATTGTTTCCTATATTCAAGAAAGATGATAGAACAATACTTGGCAACTAACCTGACCCTCAAACATTGGAAAAATGAGACAGAGACTTTTTTGGCAGAGGTGATCACCTAACTTGATGGTGGGAAGCAATATGATGTAGTATATTTAGACTTCCAAAGGGCATGTGACTGGTTCAGTAGGAGTAGGTTCAGTTATATATCGCAATGCCGGTGACTTTTTGCGCTCATGCACAATGACATGAAATAAAGGCAGTGACCTGGTAACCCAAAAGTTGACTATTTGTAGTGCAGGAAACTGAGTGGGTTTCAACGTGCACCCGCAGTGAAATGTGAGTGGTGACATTACAATATAGAAATGCTGACGGGTGATCGGTCTTTCTGGCCCCTAATAGGGAGTTAAGATTTAATGGACTACAATATTGTATTGTAACTGAATGCACTGTATATTTTATATGTGAAAGTTGAACTTCAAAGAATGAACAAGTTCATTCCAGGGGTATAATCATAGAATTATACAGCACAGAAGGAGGCCATTCAGCCCATCGTGTCTCTGCCGGCTCTTTGAAAAGAGCTATCCAAATCAATCCCACTCCCCTGCGCTCTCCCCATAGCCCTGAAAACTAGTTCTCCCCAAATAATTATCTACTCTCTTCAAAGTTGTTATCAAATCGGCTTCCACCACCCTTTCAGACAGTGCATTCCAGATCCAAACAACTCGCTGTGTGAAAACATTTCTTCTCACCTCACCTCTGTTTCTTTTAACAACTATTTTAAATCAATGTCTTTGGGTTACCAACCCACCTGCCACTAGAAATAGTTTCTCCTTGTTGCCACTGTTATTTGCCACTGATGAGATGGGTAGCAAAGGGTTGAAGGGAGGGATCTTTTAAGCTTTTAAACAAATGTACAGAGCAAGCAAGGTCTCACGAACAGCCATGAGATAAATGGCTAATTAATCTGAAGGATTGTTGACCTGAACACTCTTCAAATAGTGCCTCAAAGAACAAATGAACTGGGTCTTGGTTAAACTTCTCAAGGACACCACCACCTACAATAATGTAATGGTCCTCCAGTACTGCATTGGAGTGTTAGTCTAGATTGAGTTTGAATCCTGACGTGGGGTTTGAACCTGTAACCTTCTGATGTAGAATCACTGAGTAACACTCAGTATTACCAAGTGAGCCAGGTTGATACCTGAATCTACACATGTATTGAAATATCGTTCATCTTCTAGTATCATTTCCCCCACAAATATACAGTCAATTCACTTTACAGTCTATTCTGTGAAGTGCTTTAAGATGCCTAGAAGATGTGAAAAGCGCTATATCTAATGCAAGGATTATTATTATTATTGTCTGCTAAAAATATCTTTTAACATACTAATGCAGATTGACTATTGTTGGGCTAAGTATTAAAGCTCATCCTCAGCAGAATCTGTACACAAAATTCAACGATTTTAGTTTTAAGCACTTAATAAGCACTTAATAAACATTTACCACTTTGCATCCTGAACTCTCACAAATGTTTGCAAAGTAGTAGTAAAACCAGGCATAAACTAAATTGGTGATTTGTGTTCTGTTTCTTCCAGGTTCTACTTTCAAAGAAGGAACAGGAAGTAAAGGAACTTAAAGCAAATGTGGCAGACCTTGTCGAAGCAAAGGAAATGCTCGAAGAGCTAAATAGGGTGATTGGTTCTCTAAGTTTGTTTATGTTCTTCCATAATCTACTCCAGTGGGGTCCAACTGGTGGCCCACGGGCCGCATCCGGTCCGGCGGGTGATTTTATCTAACCCAAGACCATTTCCAACATTCCAATTTTCACTCCCTCCTTCCCTGGTGAACGTCCTACCATGGCAAGGCAGGAGCCGGTGTTTGGGAGGATGCAGCGTTGAGAGTGGAAATAATACCGACCGTCACTGCAGTCTTGTCAGGAAGGCAGGCGCATTTCTTACAACTGCATCCATAGCAACCACTGACTCCTAATGCTGCAGATAGTGAACCGCGTGGCTGATTGGGAGAGAGAGGGATTGAGAGGGAAAGAGGGCGGTGAAGAGGAGTGGGAAAGAGTGTTTGTGTGTGTGTGTGTGTGAGACAGAGAGGTACTAAAGGGGGAGTGAGAGAGAGACTATAAGCGTGAGAGAGAGAACGTGAGAGAGCGCGCTCGCTCGAGAGAGAGAGCGTGCGAGAGAGAGAGTGCGCACGAGAGAAAGCGTGCGAGAGAGAGCGCGCGCGCCTGTGAGAGAGAGAGCGCGGGAGGGAGAGAGAGAGTGCGTGTGGGAGGGAGGGTGTGAGAGAGCGAGTGTGGGTGAGAGTGAGTGTGGGTGAGAGGACAGACGTGCCTTTCATCCTCACCGAAAGCTCCCTCTTTCCCCATGAAAAACTTCTTTACTCCCTTCATTCCACCTCCCAACCCCACCCTACCTCTGCGACCTCCTGACCCAGCCATTCCCTTTGCAGAGCAAATACAGCTTGCTTCATGTACCCCCACCCCATCTGCCCCTTTGACTCCCTCCCTACCTCCAGCCGACAACATTGAGCACTTTGAGATGTCCTTCTAACATGAAAAAGATGCTGTGTAAATGTTGTTATGTTTCTGGAAGGGAAACACAAAATATTGCTTATTTGACCTGCGGACTTTCTCAAATAGGGAATCCAGTCTGCGGCAGCCAAAACGTTGGACCACCCTGATCTAAGCGTATAAAAGTTTCATCAGATTGGATAAATAAATGGACGTGTAATATTGTTTCCATCTTGGATTAAAATATACAATCAAAGTTGATAGTCAGGAATTTGGTGACGACTATCGAAAACATTTATTTTGCTAGAAATTCTAAATTAAAAACAATATTTAACTGTTAATATGTATCAAACTGGCCATAATTATATTAATAGTGGTTTCACTCAGGAAATTCTGCAGAGATGTCTATACTACTACTACTAATAATAACCCTTGCATTTGATATAGCGCTTTTCACGTCTTCTAGACGTCTCAAAGCGCTTCACAGAATATACTGTAAAGTGAATTGACTGTATATTTGTGGGCAAAACGCGGCAGCAAATTGCGCACAGCAGTGTCCCACAAACAGTCATGGATTGAGTGACCAAATTATTATTGCTTTTTCTTTCTTGAGGGATTATTATTAGGTGTATAGAGTAAGGAAACGTGCCCAAGGTTTCACCTACCCTACTCTAGGAAGTGAAAACGGTCATACTGATGTAGTACTTCATTAATTGTCCTGTGCAATACCCAGACTGGGTTTTTGATTTCAAGGCTGAAAAGTAAATTAAGAAGTACAGAATTTCATATTGTAGTGGTATCTTTCATCTTGAGGTCATGAAGATCAAAAAACACTGGTTCCCCCCCTACCCCCAAAGAAAATGTATAACTTGCTAACCTATTGTATATCATTAAAATGTAATGGTGCGTATAGTAGGTTAGAAAGTTAAAGTGCTAACCCTCTGGATGTACCATTAAAGTTCCCTTAAGATCTTATGTATCTTTTTGTTTTGCATTTGGGAGTAATGTAAATTCTAAACACAGTGGTAGAAACAGAGTTTATTTTGATTATCTGGCCATAATTATATTGTCAGTCATTGTCAGAAATGGAAACAGTCATCTAATGTACTTCTTGAATTGTTACATCATTAATATTGCGTATAGTTCAAGCATTAGCTTTTAGCTGTGCAATGAATTTAAAAATAAATAGCAACAACAAATTAAATTCATACAGTGCGTTTCATATAGGATGAAGTCTTGAAGGACTTTACTGGAACAGTGTGGAAACATGACCAAGCTGAGGAGTTAGGTAGGGAGATGATTAAAGGTAAGGTGGAGGATGTAGGTTTTGAAAATGGCTTAGAGGACAGAGGAATATAGTGTGATTTTGGAGGCAGTTCCCAAAAGCAGTGGTATAGGGGCCGAAAGCTGAGTAAGCTATGATCCACTGTGTCTCAGTTCTGCATGTATATATTTTTCCATAACATGCTTGAGCTGATATTTCTATTTTCAGGAACTTTCAAAGGAAGTAAACACACAAGGTAGTGGACCAGTTCATGAACATGAAGACCCAATCACGCAAAACTCCCAATCCCTGGGAGCACAAAAGGTACTACAATATCCAAATCCGTATTCTTCAGAGACTCTGCTGGTACCCATGAAGCAACCTGGGCTGCAGTTTGGAAATCCTTATGCTGAGCCGGGAAGAGGTTAGTTCTAATTTTTAAGTCTTCTCATTATAATGTTGTTGTTGGTAGCGGTTTTATGTTCTATACACCACACCTGGTAGTTTTTTGCAATAACATCACAGTGCTCATATTATCCTTGTCCTTTGCACATCTGAATTTAGATGGAGAGGATGGAGCACTTTATCCTGATGAGATTCGCAGAGTACCTCTGGGCATCTCCACATGGGGCCTGGACAGTAATGTGGTCTGCAGTCAACCTTCTCGCAACTTCAATCGGCCAGATGGACTTGAAGACCCCGATGATCTTATTACTGTAAGTTTGGAGAGATTTCCATTTGCTTTTAAAGAAAATTAAAATGGTTTGCTGAGGGAAAAAAAGCTTCAGTACATCATTAATGTCTGACCATCTGTGACACAGTTTGATTCTGTGATAAAAAGTCGTATTTGTTGATCTTTACTGGTCATCAAGGAACAGGAGTAACTGGTATAATTTTTGTAATATTTTCATTATTTTCATGCACCAAACTGACAGCAACAAAGCTCATCTTGCACATGACTCAACTTCCTAATGCTAGAAGTTGCAATGCCTAATAAAATACGATGTTTATGTGTTCTTTCTGTTATATATCTTAAGTGAACCTTGGGCGACCCTACCCATTTGGGCTTTGGCTTGAAGTGTTAACAGGAGCTGAGTGGAATGACTCCCTGCCCCAGTGACTGGTCTGCCCTTCCAAATCCTACTGATGAGCCAGCCTGGCTGGGCTATCATCAGCAGTGCTCTGGAATACTGGGGACCAGCCTGGCTCAACAACTGGACCACCAGGACCGCCACAGAGGGTTGGCTCGATTCTGACATTCCGTTACTGAACATCATTCTGCTTACCCTCCCCTACTTGCCGGCCACCTTGATGTTTTCAAGGTCCAAGTCTAATACTGGGTACCGGGTTCACTCAGCACCATCTGCTTAATCCAGGTCCTCATGTGAGGGGCCTTGGCAAATAGATGTGCTCACATTGAAGCTGATTGCCTCCAGGGTTCTTAACAACAGGTCAGTGTAGGCCCGAACCTGATGTATTTACCACAAATCCACCTCAATGCTTGATCCTGGACTTCGCAAATGACCCTCCGCTGCATCGCCAGGAACTCGGATCCATGAAGGACTGTTTGCACACAGGTCTCATATGCCGTAAGCTTGACCTGCATTGGGAGCGAGCATTTACTTGTAATGTCTCCTCAAACTCTTATCTGAATTAAACTTCATGAAACCTTTATCTATGATGTAGAAATTTAGTATAAATAGACAATTCCATTAACTTAGATATAGTATCATAACATCTTTTTATTCATGGCTCAGGTTAGGAACCACAAACCAATTCCAAGGGGTTGCATTAAGCAAATTGTACGCTGGCAAAAAAAAGGGCACTTGGAGTAGAATTTCAGATACATACTTTGGCAAATCTGGGGCCTGTTCAATTGTCATTTTAGCATAAAGAACGAGTCTGAAGGCGAATGAAGGTGGTAATACTTGAAATAAACCCTGAATTTATAAAAGGATTCTCTGGAGAGGACAACAGAAGTGAGATGTTTCTTCTGAAGAAGACAAAATTAGAAACCAAGTCAGTCTTAATTAGTTCAAACAAATGTCCATCTACTTCCTCAGTTGTGAAATCTTGTGTAGTGAGATGTACAGCAAAGGAGAAAATAAGTTCCAAAAACCTGGAGCACAGGAGCTGACTAATGTATCCCAATAACAGAAGTTTAACAGCTAAAGTTTTATTTAGAAGAAAGCAATTCCTCTGATAGACTGGTTGGCAAAAGTGCTGTCAGCTAAAGAACCAGGCTATATAGCTTGGAATGTTGTAGGTGCAAAACCTGGGCCTGTGCTGAGTTAGCTGGTCTCATCCAGGTTAGGGTATGTGCTATCACAAACATGAACAATTTTGCGGAGGTATCTGTGATCCTGGGTGGATTAAAAGCTGGAAGGGTGTAGGGTATGTGCTACGTTTGACCTCTGAGATGGGAAGAGAAAAAACAGCCAGAGTGCTTCCTCTTCCCCTGCCCCTCCTCATTTGCTGGAAAGACATTGGTGAGAACAGGATAAGAAGTGGCTTGGCACACTCTGCGGTCACAAAGCTGTGGCCCTTTTTTTATCTGCGCCTTATACTTTCTGGAATTACATAAGCAAGTTGTATCCCTCCAGGGAGAGAGTGTGCTTTCCATTCCAGACACAGGATAATTTCTTGTGCAAGTAACATGATATAAATCTGTCTGGTTTGAATGTTCTTAAGCGTGGTAATGGGTTTCTCCAAGTGTCAGACACCCAGGTGACCAAAAAAATGGAGAGGTATCGAGTTCGATAATTGTCTCCGTCAGTTCCATTCTTGGTTAGGTACTCGCACTGATGGTAGAATTTGTACTGACCATTTGTTTTGAAAGCGAGGCTTTTTGCTGCTGTTATTTCTGCTCCAGGGAAGTTTAAGCAGCATTTGTAGAGCTCTTTATTGTATGGAACCCTGCTACTCTATTCACAATGAGTACAGTGGTATCACGACCTGTTTCTCATTTAGTCTAGTTTGCTGCATTTAATTGCTATTAACCTTTGCTGAAGCTTAACCGTGTTCAGACAGGCATGATTTCATATCTAGTGCTCAGCATCTTAGGAAAGAAGAATGAATTCACCTTCCTGACTTCTGGCCTCTTCTGTCTATTACTGTGTATAATTAGAGAAACTGTCATAACTTTCAGAGCATATTGAAAGAATAGGATGTGCACTTAGTGATGTTTTCTACCTTGGTGCTCATTCTGCATTTCTAATATGACCATCCCCAGTGCACATATTACACATGACAAGCTCTTCTTTTAGTCATCTGCCACAGTTTAATTAGCACCGTATTCACTCTGATCCGAGTGTCTTTGATCCTCTTTGCCCTTCTGCAAACCCATGAGGAAGAACACTTGTGTCTTGTGCTCATTTGCTGACACAGCTCAGCTTTTGTAATGAGACAGAGGGACTCTAATGTGTTCCAATAAGCAGATTGTCTGTGGGTCAGCAGTAAGGAAATTGGAATGTTCTTGCGTTTTACAGAAATTTGCCAGATTTAAAGAGAACATGGACTTCAATCTGAAAGAGAAGGAATATATTTTTCCCATGGAATATATTTCTGATAAAATGCAATCAGGCTTTGCTATTTTGGCTGCAATGTGTTTCTTATAATAGAACAGGGAATGAAGGATAAGAGGGATTGCTTTCTGTTGAATATAGACCCCCTCAGTATGAAAATATGCAGGTCATCCTAAATTTCAGGAATATTTGGGACTTGTTTCCTCCTTTGCTTGGTTCTTGTGGTTGTTTATTTTTCAGGGCTGAAACAGGTGTTCTTATTTCCAAATGGTTATATTGTGATTAATCAGGATGGGTATGTTGAATAATAATAATAATAATAATCTCTCAAGGACCAAAAAATAGCTATATTGGAATACTCCACAGTGCATTGAATGTTTTTCGGGTTGAGTGGCTCTGCTCAGATTACTAATCCATTTCAAATCCAATGCAGCCACGTTGAACAGAAGGTCTCTTTATAGACTTTCATTTCCTTTCAACTTGTTTTGGATTTAATAGATTATTCTGCTGAATTTACACTGCCAGGATCAAAAGCTTTCATCTCCCTGTAGTACAGTAGTACAGTGATGGTTTTACTCTCCATTTCACATTGCTTTTAATCAGGCCAGAAAAAATTGAGTTTAGAGTTCTATGCCTCTGCATCTTGGCATTTCTTCATAAATTGAAATTGTAAGGATTTATGATGCATAAGTTTAGTCTTGTAAAATGATTGTATTTTCATTAGACTATTGACATTAATATTTATACCAATTGTGTTGGATACAAACCATTAAATAAGTTTTTATTCAGCAATTTTCATTTTATAATTTAGTTATGTGAACTGAAGTTGCTTTCCTACAATATGTCTGTTACCAACTACCTCAACTGTAGCATGAAATAGAACAATTTCAAAATAGTCAGGGACAATTTAAATCTTTAGTTCCGTGAATCATGAGCACTTTGGTCAGAAGGTTGTCATTGAAGCCCACATCGAGACTTGAGTACAGTCCAATTAGCTGATATTCCAATTAGTCCAACACTGAGTGGGCTGACGGTTAGAGATACTGTCTTTTAATGGGACATTAAGATGAAGTCATAGGTGGGTGTTATGTTCCCATTACACCATTCGAAAATATAAGGCTGTTTTTCCTGGTGCCTTGGCCAAGAACAATAATAATAATCCTTGCATTTGATATAGCGCCTTATCATGTCTTCGGGCCATCTCAAAGCACTTCGCAGAATATACTGTAGAGTGAATTGACTCTATACTTTTTGGTGAAACACGGCAGCCAATTGCGCACAGCAATGTCCCACAAACAGTCATTGAGTGACCAAATTATTTTTATGCATTTTGAAGTATTTATATAATATTTATTAATATGTATATTAATCTTCCAGATTAATTGGCCATTTGCCTCATGGTTGTTTGTGGAACCTTGATGGCAGAAATAGTTGTTGTCTTTGCCAATAATTACCTGCTAAGCATTTTCAGATGCTTCAGTGTGATGAGGTGTTTTTAAAAATGCAAGTTTTCTCTTTTTACATTCCGTGTGTTAACTTTCATCATTTCAGATTATGAGAGGTTCAGATGAATTAGACCTTCAGTCAATTTATCTTCTTTGAGAATAACAACATTCATGTCTTTCCATTACAGCACCAAGTTATTTCTTAAATGAATCTAGCATTGTGACATCTGAAAAAAAATCCTGTCCTTAATCATTAATTACCCTATTTACCCTCTATGTAAAAAATAATAAATAATCATATATATTGCCTTATCAAGTTGAAACATTTCAGCACTTCACATGATTTTTGCTGTATAGTATATTTTTACTGTGTATTTTGTAGGTGAATGTGACTTCTACTTTTACGCATAGCGCTATCCCACAAACAGCTATGAAGTGAGTGACCCATTTTATCTGGAGGGATTATAGACCAGAATTCTGGGAGAAACTCCCTTCTTTTTTCAAATAGGTCCATGGAATCTTTAACATCCAGTTGAACAGGCACACGGGATCTTGGTTTAATGTCTCATCTGAAGGACGGTACCTCTGACGGTGCTTCCCCAGCACTATATTGGAATGACAGCCTAGACTATAAGATCAAAGTTCTGACATGGAGCTTGAATCTACTGCTTTCTGACTTGGAGGCCACAGTGCTGTAACTGAGATAGACTGACATCTCAATCCTGTTCTCTTGTAAATTAGCCTTCA